CTATATACTCTTGGTATATGTGGAGCAGAGAAATGTCAGAAGATCCACCTCATGTAAGACACAGATCTGAACAGCTTAATTGTGGAGAGCTTATAAAACAAACAATGCTGAATGTAACTGAGCAAGTATCAACCACCACATTGCCCTGAAACTGATATTTAATTACTGCAGATTGGGCTTCCCTTACGTACTCCCCTAAAAGAATCACAAGCAATAGATGAGAACTCTTTAGAGATGCTGTTTTCCTGAGCAAGATCTGAATTTGATTCAGAAACAGTTTTCAAGTGGGTATAACCCAGGTTTCGGAAGGCTGTTGAGGAGGTAGAAAGATTTCTGAGGAGCATTGGTGTGGTGCTGGAGGCCAAAGCACAGAGGAAAAGAGAAGTGTCAGACAAGCACCAGCTTCGCTGACTGGGTTTTGGACACACAACTGAGTCACAAAATGTCCCTGAGGAATTTGTGCAATCCTACCTTGCTACACAAAACTCACCACAAGCAATTATGTCACCTCTAGCCTGAAGAAAAGTTGTAGGACACCAGTACTTTAGAGAACGCTTCTCTTTAGCAGTTAGCAAATTACTCTAATGGGTAACATTTTCCAAAGTTGATGAGTTATGGGCTTCATTTTCTCATGCTTCAAAGGCCAGGTCAAACTGGATTATAAATCCATCTTTAATGCCCATAATTTCACCACTAGTGACAGTGGCAGAACCCAGTATTTAGCTCAAATGTTCCATTTCTCCAAATCTTTCGCTTTCCAGACACTTCTGCAGGTGAGGTCAGGTGAAAAAGTCTATCATATTAACAAAGGGAAAGAAAATCCAAGGAACAGGAAAATTTACCATCCTCGTGCCCTGCAAAGAGTTCATCACCAGGCATTTTTCTCTGATCTGAAGTACTAAATAACCTTTGATACACATGGAACAATCTGATGAGTCCAGCCAGGTCAAAGAACATACGAATGATCACAAATACTTGATTTTTTTGCTGTACCGGGGAAACGAAGGGATCACGCCAGACTTCCCAACATCATGCCATACCCATGAGTTGTGGAGCTCGTAATCCCATTTCCTCTTGGCATTCAACAACATATAAATTACAATCCTGAGCTGTCACCCGCACAGAACGGTAGGCCCTACCCCAGGAGTCAGCATTTCTGAGATATAAAGACCTTAAGTTACTGATGCAATCCCAGTGGCCCATTCACAAGCTAATTAACACCTATGAGATTAGTGTTAATCTCCAGGAAACGGCAAGGAGATGCCTTCCAAAATCTTTATGGAAAAATCCATTAGGAATTGCATATCGGATGATATACAGTGCGTCAAAGAGGCTAAAAATAGGGTAGTGCAAACATCGCCGGGATTGAGTGTGGAAGTAATTAAATTGCCATTACAAAGAGGTGTCTCACATCCAAGATAACCTTTTGGAGCCCTATAAAAGATCACTGGATGCAGTCCTCCTCAGTCACTCGACTTTGCTTCCAGACGCTTCTCCTTGTAGCTGACGAGGGTAAGACCGATTTTACTATCTTGGTTGATGCTCCACTAAAGGTTTCTGTGGAGCTTGGGAGTTGGGACTTAGCTAAATGCCTGGCACCTTTGCGGTGCTCTGTGGCAAGTATCGTGGATGGAGGGATGGGATCACCAGGGAAGGTGCAGCAAAGGCACGCAAAGGGATCCTCAGGCAACACGACCTCCATTCTGGTTCACAAGGGTGATGAGACCTGGGAGTTTACTGTGTTGGTTTGAAGGGATTTAGCTTCACACAGCAGTTGCCAGAGCAAGCCCTCCAGATTAGTCAGGACTGAGGGTACATTCAGCTTAGAGAAGAGAAGGCTGCGTGGAGATCTCATAGCACCCTTCCAGTATCTGAAGTATAGGGACTGTAGTGATAGGACAAGGGGTAACAGGTTAAAACTTAAACAGGGGAAGTTTAGATTGGATACAAGGAAGAAATTCTTTACTGTTAGGGTGGTGAGACACTGGAATGGGTTGCCCAGGGAAGTTGTGAATGCTCCATCCCTGGCGGTGTTCAAGGCCAGGTTGGACAGAGCCTTGGGTGACATGGTTTAGCGTGAGGTGTCCCTGCCCATGGCAGGGGGGCTGGAACTGGATGATCTTAAGGTTCTTTCCAACCCTAATTATTCTATGAGTCTATGATTCAGTCTGGATTAGGTAGGCAAAAAGAAAGAGAAGTTCACTGGGGATCTCAAGTATCATGAGTTTGAATCATGGTTTTGGTAGGAAAACCTTGTTGAAAAGCCCTTAAGATAATTCTAGTTCCAAGGGAGGGAATAGAAGAAGTAAATGTGGGGCTCCTCTCACCACATGGATCTCTTGCTCTTGACAGCTTTGCCAATACTCCAGGAAGATGTGCTCCCGCGGGTCCTGCCATGACTATGAGTCCTCCTGCCATGGATCCAGCTCTGGCTGCCATGGATCCAGCTCTGGCTGCCACAGCTCAGGATCCTCCTGCCATTACACCATCCAGAGGCAGCCTGTGCAGAAGTTCACCTACGTGACGCCCTGCTACACCCCTGTGCAGTCCTATTGCCCCCCTGTGCAGCGTTATTGCCCCCCTGTGCAGCGTTATTGCCCCCCTGTGCAGCGCTACTGCCCCCAGTACACCAAGAACATCTGTGACCTGCCACCAAAATGCCCCAAGTACTAACAGCAGGATTCAACCCCAGCATTGGATCTCACCCAAAACCTCAAGCTCATCTGCTTGCTCATTACTTGCCAGCCCTTGCTCCTCTGCAAGCAAACACCTTTAAAAGGGCTGGAGGGTAGCATGGTATTAGGATAAGTCTCTCAGTTTAATGAGCTTTGAATCTTTCTGCCAAAGCAAAGACCAGTGTCCACTGGGAATAGTTTCTTTCTTGCTTTGCTGCTTCTATCTCCAGCAAGACAATAAAAATTATATATCAAGCCTACCTAACAGTTCTGGATGGTTTTAGTCACTGCTCCGCCGTATCTGCCTATCTGGCGGCATCGGGTTTTGTCTTGTGGTTTTGGAGCCATGCTTTAATCACTGGTGAAAATAGCTAGAGAAGGAGGAATGCCAAGAAAACATGAAAGTGAAGGAAAACGCCCGCAACACCACCAGCGATGCCAGGAGTGATGCAACACACGCAGAGGGCTAGGAGAAACACGTTGTGTTAATTACTGGTGAAACCAAATCTTTGCATTGAGCTCAGCAAAGGGGTTTTCAGAGTTAGAGCTTGGAGCCTGGCCTGCACATTCATGTTTTCACTGCAGAGGTGATCTTTAAAAGCTGCTGCTATGTTTGGAAACAAAACAAAGCGAATCCTGCAGGGTTTGGAACAATTAAACTATTTCTACAGTGTAAAATGACAGGTTTCTCCAGCGTGATTCATCCATTCGAGGGCAGGCGTGGGAAATGAGTTGGCTGAGCTGCAAGCACCTTGTAAATGACCACTTGGTATATAAGTAATTGGAATTAGGTATTTATAGGTTAAGGAGAAAATTGTCATTATAGAGGAACAGCTAAAAAGGAAAAGTTGCAAACGGGATGCAGAGAGCAATTAGTTACTCACCTCCATTCAAGTTGCTGCCATTGCTAAGAGATGGCTCATTTTTCATGCAACCCATGGCAGCTGCATTAAAAACTCTTTTCCTTACTCATTCTTCACTCTCCGGTCAGGTATTGTGTCAGAAAGGGGTTTTTGTACATAGGCATGATTTTGTCTTCAAGTTCACTTCCCCTTGCTACCCAAGCCTCCAAGTCTATTCTCTGACTAATCACAACACACTGTTTCCTCCTCCTTTTCCAAATCCCACAAAAGGCTTCTGAACTCATTGCTCTTTCTGCTGTTCCCGTTAACTTGAAGATCACCGGGAAACAGAACAAAGCTGGTTTCATTTCTACTCTATTCCATTCTTAATGATCTTAAGGTCCGTCCTTTCCAACCCTAACTATTCTATGATTCCAAGTATTTGTCAACCCTGGCAAGGTTGGGACATTAAGGACCAAAGATTTTATAAATGTTTTACCTCATTAGAATACTTTCTTTCAAATCAGAGCCCATAGACATTTAGCAAGAGAAGAAATCCTCTATGCCTAACACTCTAGATGGCTTAGAGGAACATTTCTGCTCTGCTGACTACTTGTTAAATAATGTAACAGCGGATCTCCACAACCAGGATAAACCATGAGCAAACCCCTAAGGATTAATGAGGAGGAATTTGCCTTAACTGCTTCACAGCAAGGATTGCTTCACTGCATCCGTAGTTTTCAAATCTAAACAAACAGAGCAGTGTTACTCTGGGCATCTTACAGAGCCTGCTAAGTTCATTCACTCAATGTAAAATTCAATTGGGATCTTGTTTGGGATCAAATTTGAACCTTTTCTCTTGGAAAACCTTAGCTGTCTATGGATCCACCTCAAATGGCTTCAGGTATCTCTGATGTTCACGACCAGCTCTAGCAGCAGCAAGGGGGCTCTGATTCAGAGAGGCACTGGGTGAATCACTGCACCAGATCCCTACAACAGCACACAGAAAACTGCCTAACTTTGACAAATAGCTCTTACTTTACCTCCCTGCTCCTGATCCTCCATGTTCCTAATACCAGAGCCTCCTGGCGTTTCTCTGCAAGATCAAAAACCACCTCCCAGCTTGCCATTAGCCTCCTTTATTGTTATTGTTAGCTGAGAAGCAGGTACTCAGCCCGTGTAAGTCTCTATCACTAATTAGATTATAATGGGTGGCAGTGACCCAGCCTAACCCAGTCATTAGCACGAAGGCAAACTCAGTAGGAAACAAAGCCTGTGTTTTAGTGGACAGCAATATTGACCTTGGAAAGAGCTTGCCTGGAGTGGTGGTGACCTCATGGTCTTTTGAATTCCTCAAAGCAAGCCTGGGTGGTTTCTATGAATCTCAAAGTTGGGATGTAGTCAAATAGAAACAGTAGCTACCCAACAGAGACTGAGTGGAAACAGGTGCTTTATGTCACCAGTAGACAATGGAAGGGTTACAATGACCTATCTTGCCCTCAGGATCTGCGACATGGATCCCACCGTGTTTCTGCATGAAGACAGAATCTTCTCTCCTTCACCTCAGCAGAAATCAGGATATCTCCAGTGAGGCAGCATGTTGTAAGAGATAGTCCCAAGGGTCCTTTGGTGCTCTGCTCCTGCAGATGCACAACCCCACAGCAGCAGGAGCATCCCTCCCTTTTTGGGTGATCTCAGACCCAAGACATTTGGTCACGTCAGTCATGGGCTGGGGTCCCATGAGTCCCTTCTGACCGGAGACAGGTGTATTTTGGTAAAGACATAGTTTAATTGGAAATCCTAAAGGTGCTCAGGGCATCACGTGAGGCCTTCAGGCTTTCACGCAAACTAAGTATCAGCTTCATCAATGAATAATTGCAGTGTGATCATTAACATCAGCACTAATGACTGCCAATGGGCGATTGAGGACTGAGCCTAGAGTTATCCCAAACGTAACAGGAGTAGGTGGATCTTTCATGGCTCAGGGGCACAATACAATTGGAAAGAAAAAAAAAGGAATAGGAATTTTGCTAATGAAGTTGTGCTGAGCATAAACAGGATGTAAAACTGCCAGAAAAGTTTTGCATTTTGCTTTTATTTAAAGATATCCCAAAGGAACTGGGAAAACACAGACACCAATTTGACCCTGATTCTATTCCAAACTTCCATGATAAATTGGCACAGTCCTTTGCACCTAATATTTCTGATATTGGAAAGGCCAAGGGCATGCATTTTCCCGTGCATGGATGGGATGAGGCACAAAGGGTTATGATGTTAGAGGTAAGGAAGAAGCTCTTCCCTGTGAGGGTGCTGAGGCGCTGGTACAGGGTGCCCAGAGAAGCTGTGGCTGCCCCATCCCTGGCAGTGTTCAAGGCCAGGTTGGACACAGGGGCTTGGGCAACCTGCTCTAGTGTGAGGTATCCCTGCCCATGGCAGGGGGCTGGAACTGGATGATCTTCAGGTCCTTTCCAACCCAAGCCATTCTATGATTCTATGTCAAGAGCTTTCTGTCACATATATGCCCTTCTGATGAGCAGAGACTCCAAAGACAGACATTGGGCTTTAGCATTTCTCCATCCAAAAGCAAACCATGAGGGCATGGAATTACACTTTCTGGAATTCTGTTTTAATAGAAAAAAATATATTGAGAAGTGCCTGACGTCCAGAAGGCCTCTGCACATCCATGGAACTGACTGCTCCTCAATCTTAATTATGGATTTTATGTTAATTGAGGACTCGCTAGCTCTGAACAAGCCACCTAGCATCTCAATGTAACCGCATTACCATATGCAAAATGAGCAGAAACATGCCTCTTATGCAGTTCACAAGCATCACACAAGATGTCAATCTGCAATTGACACTGCCATTTAACTTGACATTAAAAAACTGTAAAAAATTTACAGAACAAATGGATAATAACTCAGAATGGATGGGTTGGTCAGAAATAATGAGGCAAAGACTAAATAGATGAAGGCCCATTCAACAAATAAGTATAGGCTTAACACATAAATCATGAATTGCTGTGGGGTACCTCATTTCCGGAAGGACAATTTGGAGCTAAATAAAAGGTCTCCCCATCCCTTTGCTCCTCACTCAACTGCACCACTCAGTTAGCACGGTAAGTGTTACCCATTAGCGGTGTTCTTTGATGGCAATGGTTCTCATTTGGCTTTGGTCAAGCAATGAATGGAAATGTGTCTTTGATTCTGATCTTTGTGGGTTGTTGGACTAAAGGACCTTTAAAGGTCCCTTCCAAACCATTCTATGATTCTGTGAGCTAAAGCTCTCTCTGAAATGTTGGCTTTCCAAGCCTGTTGGTCTATTGCTTATTGCAAAAGACAGTTGGTAGAAAGAGCAAAGTGGAAAATAAGCTTCTTGGGATGGAAGTCAAAGCAAATAAGTTGGGAGCAGTGTATGATGTGGCTACTACCATTGGACTTAGCAGCATTTGAACGCCAAAACAAAACACACCTCTATATACTTAGGAAGAAGTTGTATCTGAAAGTACTCTGTGTTTCAGGTCCTCGCTCCTCCCAGCCTTGACCAACCACTCTACAAACAACATGCGTTGTTGCAGATGCGGATGCTGCTCCGTCGTGAAGAGCAAGGCTGTGTGCTGCTGCCAGCCATGCCAGAAGACCATCTGTTGCAGCCCATGCCAGCAGTCCTGCTCCTGCGACCCATGCCAGAAGACCGTCTGCTGCGACCCATGCCAGAAGACAGTCTGCTGTGACCCATGCCAGAAGACAGTCTGCTGTGACCCATGCCAGAAGACCGTCTGCTGCGACCCATGCCAGAAGACGGTCTGCTGTGACCCATGCCAGAAGACAGTCTGCTGTGACCCATGCCGGAAGACAGTCTGCTGTGACCCATGCCAGCAGTCTACCTGCTGTGACCCATGCCAGCAGTCTGTTTGCTGTGATCCATGCCAGAAGTCCTGCTGTGACCCATGCCAGCAGTCTGTCTGCTGTGACCCATGCCAGAAGCCCTGCTGTGACCCATGCCAGAAGCCCTGCTGTGACCCATGCCAGCAGTCTGTCTGCTGTGACCCATGCCAGAAGCCCTGCTGTGACCCATGCCAGCAGTCTGTCTGCTGTGACCCATGCCAGAAGCCCTGCTGTGACCCATGCCAGCAGTCTGTCTGCTGTGACCCATGCCAGAAGCCCTGCTGTGACCCATGCCAGCAGTCTGTCTGCTGTGATCCATGCCAGAAGCCCTGCTGTGACCCATGCCAGCAGTCTGTCTGCTGTGACCCATGCCAGAAGCCCTGCTGTGACCCATGCCAGCAGTCTGTCTGCTGTGACCCATGCCAGAAGCCCTGTTGTGACCCATGCCAGCAGTCTGTCTGCTGTGACCCATGCCAGCAGTCTACCTGCTGTGACCCATGCCAGCAGTCTACCTGCTGTGACCCATGCCAGCAGTCTGTTTGCTGTGACCCATGCCAGAAGCCCTGCTGTGACCCATGCCAGCAGTCTACCTGCTGTGACCCATGCCAGCAGTCTACCTGCTGTGACCCGTGCCAGCAGTCTACCTGCTGTGACCCATGCCAGCAGTCTGTCTGCTGTGACCCATGCCAGCAGTCCGTCTGTGATACCAAGGTGTGCCAGAAGACCTGCTCTTGCTGTGGCCAGGTACCCTGCTGCTGTACCTGCCGCCCTTGCTGCCCTGCTGCGTGTCTATCTTGCTGCTCCTACACCGTGAAGAAGCCCATTGTGCTGAATTGCAGCCCTGTGCCATGCTGCTATCCCCTGAGGAAGTATGGCATTCCCATCCAGCAGTGCTGTACCACAATCAAGAGGCTTCGCTGATCCAACTCTGGGAAGTAAAAGCAGCTCTGCCGGCTCCCATCTCTGGCACACAACAAGAACAGGCACAGGGAGATGAAAACCTGCTCATCTGCTCCTGGTTCACATGACGATGGAGTAAACACCTTGTGATTTTCTTCTTGTCTTCAAACTTGAGCTGCCTTCTTTCTGCCTTTTCGTTATTGAACATCTGCAATGCACTTGAATACGTCACTCATCGTGTAAAGCAAAAAAGCTCTTAGATATTAGTGGGGCTGTTAATTCTTTTCTTGGTGTATGGGACTTGGGCTATCTTTGCTGTTAATGTTATCGTTCTTCATTCCCTCTCTTGATTTGTAGACAATAAAAGTTAGCATTGAGCAAAACACAAAATCTTGCTTTGGTTGTTTTTACATCACTTTGCCCAGAATATGTCCTCGTTCTGCTGCTGTTCCTGTGTCTTCAGCCAGGTTCCTACTGGCTACAGACCTGCTCCCATGGCACAGCAGAACATTTAGGAAACAAAGAGCTGTCCAGCACTGCTGTGCGCATAAACTGGGTCATCATTAGTGATGATCCCTCCTTCCACCTACCGATCATCTACCTCAGCTCAATTTTTACCATAGAACTTAATGGTTAAGGTAAATAAAAACGCAAAGTTCACAGCTGGAATGAAGCTTGCAGAACCCCACCACCTGAAGACGCACCACTCCATGAGATGTATAAGAAACTCATGATGTACAACAGGTATTTCACTAGGTACTGAGAGGAACTCACTACTCACTGAAGAGCAGGCACCATCTTCTTCCACTTCCATTTTCAAACTAATAGATTTCAGAAAACGCTTTATGTTGTTTAATTATTTTTATGTGAACAGAGACTTTCATAAGCAGCATTCCTGGATTCCAAGCAGTTGGAACGACACCCAGTTTTAGCGTAAAACTTAAAAGCTTCATTCCTAAAATAGCACACACATGAGTCAACGAGACCTTTTGTACCTGGCTGGGACTTCCTTTACTATTAAAATTCAGGACTCAGCTCTGAATTGCATGGCTCAGGAAAATGCCTTGAGCACTGTCTTGATTGCTTCCCTCAACCAGATCTTCAGAGCATACATAAAGTCTGCATTAGAATAGCCTTCTCTCCCATGTTAGACTCTTCCATAAACTCAGGTCTTTAGGAGTTTTTTATTAATAGGTAAATTCCACTGGCAGAAGGAGATCCTATTCCATATTATACCAGAAATGCATTCTGTTACGGAAATCATATGCTGGAAAAGCTGCTGTGGTGGATTCATCCCCGTTTACAAAGCTCTCAAATGCATGGAACCACCATGGGATTTTACAAAGACATCTTGGCATGGCATGTCAAAGTGGTGATGGTTTGAAACTGAAGGAGGGTAGATTCAGATTAGATAGAAGGATGTTTTACTCCTAGGGTGGTGAAACACTGGAACAGGTTGCTCAGAGAGTTGGTAGATGCCTCAACCACGGAAACATTCAAGGTCAGGTTGGGCAGGGCTCTGGGCAACCTGGTCTAGTGGAAGGTGTCCCTGCTCCTGGTAGGAACTGGGTGAGCTTTGAAGGTATTGTCCAAATCAAACCATTCTATGATTCTATAATTCTAATAGAAGGATCGCCTTGGCCAATATGGTGACAATAAAACCTGATTAAAAGACAATTAATGACTTATTCCATGGATGACATGTTTAAGGGTTTACACAAAGAGGACATTATTTCCTTCAGGCAAGTATACAGCTAATATGGTGTGACCGAAACAATGCTCCCCTAGGGACAATTCCAGAGAGTCAGAAGAGGTCATGTTCGCATCTTGGAAAGATGCTGCATGTCCCAGCTGTGAGGAGTCATGTCACCACTCCAGCCTCACATTCAGAGTCAGCTAAACAGGATGGAAGTCTCTATTTGCCATAAACATCAAGTATGTTAGGACTCTCATCTTATATTGGTGCCCCCTCTCATCACATGAAGACTCCATCATCACCTTCTTCTCATGCGGAGATATGCTGGCTCCGCACATGGCCACAGTTCCTTCCCCCATTCCCAAGCCTTGTAATATCTGCCTTGACTCCAACCATCTCATCATTCCCTCCTGATTGTTCAGCCAAACTTTGCATGCAGAGCAGCCTAGGGCTTGGTTCACTGCAGCTAAAACAACTAGAAGTAATTGCTGAAAAACTCAGACCACCTGAGAGATTTCAGCTGGGCTCCCAAGGTACAGGGAAAAGTGACGGAGAAATGCACTCAGGATTGAATTTCCAGTCTGGAACCTCACACTTGCCTACAATGACAGAGAATCTAGTTGTAAGTGTGAAACACTTATATGTGATCATCATGAATACCATGAAATACAAGGTGTCTCAGTCTCACAGGCCTTAGAAATGACCTCAGAATATGGAGTATATGGAAGCAACACAGACAAAAGCTGACCTGCACTCTGCTTTGAAAGCTGTTTAATTTAGACTTAATCCATCCCTTTCATGGGAAGGCTTAGCAGAAATAAAAAGCACCCTGAAGGGAGACCCAAGAACAAGGCTGAGAAAGGAGAAACCCTTCAGTCTTAACTTTAACCACACAGAGGCAGGAAAACAGGATTCACATTGACCAGTGGTTTCCACTGGTCCACCAAAATCCCAGCCAAGCACAGAGGGAACACACCAGGGGTGACATTTCCAAGTTCCAGGCATGGTTCTCCCACTGCTTCAGCACCTGATTCCCTCGTGCGCATTGTCCCTGCGTCTCAGGCTCATTCCTTGGGAAGCGGATGGGAATACCTTAGAGCTACCTCCAGATCCCATTAATGCAAATTCATTAGAATCTTTCCACTCTTGTTCATATGTGAGACTAATTACGGTGAGGAATTGAAGTGGTGAGCAAGCAGAAAGAGGTAAAGATTAAATACCAGAAGACATGTGAGTGGCATAGGTTGGGTGATACATGGGGAAGTTGGAATTGCCGAAGAATGCCTCATTTCTTGGGGGGGGATAGCTTGGAAGCATATAAAAGGCTCCCCATCACAGTGGCCTTCATAATCTCGTCTTGACTCTTCCTCTCTTGTCCTCACTGGTCAATAGGGTAAGTCAGAGCTTACTACTTGCCTCTTCATTTGCACTGTACTGTATTTCCACATGCTCCTGCAAGAAGCCATCCAGGATTTCCTGTGCTGTTTGGTTTTGAGAGACAATTTTGGGGATCCAGCTGGGTGGCTTCTTTCTGATGGAATCAATGCTGGACAACATGCCAAATGCACAGATGTCCATGCAAAAATGTGGAGATCTCAGGGATAGGTTAAGATGGGATTCTGGACAGTAGGGACTTCTCCAGCCACTTCGGGAGGGGCTTTGGGATAAGGGTGCTTTAAGCTGCCTATACAGGGAAATTCAGACAGTAAAAAAGACCTTCTCTCTATTCTTTCCAGCTTTGCCTACAAGACTACCAACAACATGCCCAACGGAGGTTGCGGATGCTGCGGTGGAAGTAATAACTGCACCGTGTGCTGCTACAGCAGCAGGAAGTCATGCTGCAAGAGACCAATGTGCTGCCAGCCCATGCAGTGCTGCTGCCCCACCACTTGCTGCATGCCCACTCAGACCTGCTGCTACACTGTGAGCAACAACAGTGGCTGCTGCGGTGGCAGCGGTGGCTGCTGTGGAAACTAAACCCACTTGGCAATGGGCAGGCAACGCTCTGCTGCTGATGCTTCCCTCCTGGCTCATTTGGATATGGATATGGCCTTGAACGTTCTTCCTCCTTTGCTTAGAAACTGTAGATGATCTCTCCTCTCCTTTTCCTGCCTTTAATCACCAAACCCATGCAAATGTGCTTTGAAGTTGCTATCAGTATGATTTTTGTTTGTAAGCATGAGTCCTGCTGTTCGTTTTCCTCTTGGTGTGTGGGGTGTTTAAGTCTTTTCCTCACTGTTTTGTTTCAATCTGTCTGAAAACCAATAAAATCTGTAGTTCATGAGCCTGCTAAGTTCCTTGGTGGTTATCTGTTTGCTAGCTGGTGAATCCAGAGTGCTGCACTGCACCCATCACCTTTTCTTTGCTTTGTTTCCCAGTGCTCCTATGCTCCTGTCCTAAAGATGCCACCTAAGGGGGTTTGCCTACACAAAGAAAACCAGTGCACCCTGGATGCAGTTCTGAGTTTCTGCATAGGTCTATTCTAACACAAGCTGAGTGTCCGACATCTCTATGAACAATATCTCTCCTCTCTCTGTAAAACTACAAAGAAGTAGAAAGAACATAATACCTAAACTTGTGAAGGATGTGAATTCCTTCTGAAATAGTTTGACACGACACATCCCAGCTAGAAAAGTTCCATGTATTTCAAATAGGTGGTTGAACCTATAGACAGTCCTTATAAATTTATGAGATGGAAGTCTTGCCTCTGCTAAAATATCTGGGTTACCAGACATTAGAGAAATGGTGAGAAATCTCCATTGTCTTCAAGGAGGGGCTGGGTCAGTAAGGGTTGTGCCACAACAGTGTGCAAGATCTGCACCACAGCCTTCATTCTGTGCCTAATGCCTTTTACTGACTCGTTTCCATCTCACTTCAGTCCCTTTTTTGCGTTAAGATCCACAGACCACTCCCCAAAGACCATTCAAACCCCAAGGTTACACGAGTGGCTGAACACAGCTATCACGGGTGGGAAATGCCCATCCAAACCATCACTTCTTCTTGCAGTTTCAGGATTTCCCAATGAGAAATTCCCCTCTGGAGGCAGAAGTGAAGGTGTGTCCCTTTGATTCTGCTTCATTAATTCCTTGTAACCTATTCAGTTCTCATGGGCAGGCATGCATCCTGACAGGGCACCTCTGAGGAAAGGAAATGCCATGCATGTTCTTCTGCCCTGTCTGGAGAAGTTGCAATTACGTGTGCTGCTTCTGCAGCATCTCACTCAAGGAATTACTCTCATTCCAGGAAAGCCTGGGAAGAAGCTGGCTGCATTTACTGCAGCACTAAAATCACTATCTGCTCGCCCTTGCACTGTGCAGAAAGCAAA